CTAGGCCCGTGAGCCATGGCCGCTGAGCCTGCCCGTCCGGAGCCTGTGCTCCGCAAAGGGAGAGGCCACAACAGTGAGAGGCCCGTGTACCACACAAAAAAAAACAAAAACAGAAACCATCTCTGGCTAACTTAAACAGGAAGTCAAATTTACTAGAAGAATGGGGATGAGGGAGGCTGGGTAGGACTTGGAGGGGAGGAAGCACAGCCAGGTCACACTGATAAAATGCTCCAACAATCCAAAAATCAGCTGGTGAGAATGCCACCATTAAATGCCCCTGCCTCTGTACCCTCTGCTGCTGCCACCAAGAATAATCTCTGCCCCTGCATCTTTGGGTCACTTCTTCAAGACGTAATGCATGTCCCAGGTGGGAGCAACCTACTGATTGCGATGAGGTAACATGCCTGAGCCCTAGTTGCCAGATTAACAGGGAAATGAAGTATCCGTCCCTGTTGGATTTCCACTGAAGGAGGTGGGCCCTGCCTAAACCAAACCCACTCAAAGAGAAAATCTCTCAGGTAGGAGAGGTGTCTGTTTAAATTTGGAGTAGCTAAAAAATGGAAAATGTCAACTATGACCCCCACCTCCATGGGATTAATGATTTTCTCCTCTTTCATGTGAAATCAATGAGATTAGCTATCAAATTTAAGTAAGGTCAGATATACCACATTCTTGAAAGAAATCCCTGTTCAAACTGATGTTTACTTTCCATTTTTGTTACTAAACAGAAAGGGACCCACCTATGACCTCATCTCAAATGAGGTAATGAATTATGATTAGCTCTTACTTCAGGCCTCTTTTCTGTCACATGTGAGGTAAGAACACTTGACCCTCTTTAGGAAGTCAGGGAGTACGGGAAAGAACTTCAGTTTCTACTGCCCCTCTTTTCCTACATCAAGACATTCCTGTCGACAATAGCTAGACTTCAGCAAAAGAAAGAAATGACCTGCCAAAGACCAATTCTATAAGTTCCTAAGGCTGCTGTAACAAATTACCACAAATTGGGTGGCTTAAACCTCCCCCCCCGCCACACACACATGCGTGCGCGTGCATGCACACACACACACACACACACACACGCACACACGCACACAGAAATTTATTCTCTCACAGTTCAGGAGGCCAGAAGCCTGAAATCAAGGTGTCAGCAGGGCTGGTTCCTTCTGGAGGTTCTGAGGGAGAATGTTCCATACTTCTCTCCGAGCTTCTAGTGGTTGCTGGCAATCCTTGGTGGTCCTTGGCTTACAGATGCATCACTCCAATTTCTGCCTCCATCTTCACATGACCTTCTTCTCTGTGAGTCTGTGTGTCAGATCTTCCTCTCCTTTCTCTTATGACACCAGACTTGGATTTAGGGTCCACCGTATATCCAGGATGATATAATTTCAAGATCCTAATTACATCTGCAAAGGCCCTATTTAAAATTAGGTCATGTTTACAGACGCCAGAGTTTAGGACTTGGATGTATCCTGTTGGGGTACACAGATCAACCCACTACATCAACTGAAGGCTGAAGCAAGTATGGTAATTCTTAATGTTGTTGGAGAGAGAGTAAAGGAACAAAGAAAACCGTTTGAATGGCTCCATCTCTTGGTGTTCTGAAATTTCTATTTCTTTGCTTATTTAAAAAAAACTATATGGAAACATATGTATATGTGTAACTGATTCACTTTGTTATAAAGCAGAAACTAACACACCATTGTACAGCAATTATACTCCAATAAAGATGTTTAAAAAAAAGATATTATATTTCTAACACCCTAAAAAAAAAAGCCTAAAAACTAAAATGACAGCTATAACTTCTGTGGAGGTCAATTTGGTAATATATAACAAAATCACAAATGTATATGCCTTTTGGGTGGAAGTTCTTTCCATAAATGTTTATCGATGTATAATATGCATAAAGAAAAGTGGACATACCATAATGGTAGACTATGTTACTTTATTTTATTTTTATTTTTTTTGCAGTACGCGGGCCTCTCACTGTTGTAGCCTCTCCCTTTGCAGAGCACAGGCTCCGGATGCGCAGGCTCAGTGGCCATGGCTCACGGGCCCAGCTGCTCCGCGGCATGTGGGATCTTCCCGGACTGGGGCACAAACCCATGTCCCCTGCATCGGCAGGCGGACTCTCAACCACTGCACCACCAGGGAAGCCCACTATGCTACTTTAAATATTGTTCTTTCTGCTTTCATTTATATTGGGTAAACAATCTTTTTATATATATATTTGAATTTTATTTTATTTTTTTATATAGCAGGTTCTTATTATTTATCAATTTTATACATATTGGTGCATATATGTCAGTCCCAATCTCCCAATTCATCCCACCACTACCATCCCCCTAAACAATCATCTTAAAGCTTTCTTTTCCCTATTGTAAAAGTAATACATATTCAATGCAAAAAAAAAATCAGAAAACTTGAGAAAAGTACAGAGAAACTACACAACAACCATACTATTACCATCCAGAAATTAACCATTAACATTTTGTTGTAGTTTCTTTGGGGGTTTTTCCAATGCAAGTATACACATATACTTTTTTTAAACAAAGATGTAACTGTATGGTATCTATTTCTTTGTACATTCTTAACAAGTTACAATGCACTGTGCACAACTTTCTATATAATTAAATTAACACAGAGTTGCATCATAATTTTTAATGACTATTCTTCTTAAGGTCCCACTGAGGGACATTCAAGTTGTTTTCAGCTTTTTGACATTATAAATAATGCTGTGGTAAATATAATTTTTTAAAACTCTTAAAAGGCCAAATTTTAAGTGCTGAATATATAGTAATTTCTGTATCTTAAATGTGCATGGAAAGGAATTTCTGATATTCTCTCCAAACTTGCTTTAGCCAGAGCCTTCTCTAAGTTAGGTACAGCTCCATCTTGCCATTAGCTCGAGCAAACAAACAAGCAACCAAATATTGGAGTCATCTTTGACTCTTCTCTTTCCCTCATGCCTAAATCCAATTAATTAGCAAATTTATGTGCTCTTTCTTCCAAAAATACCTAGTATTTGACCATTTCTCATTACCTCCACAGCTCTCATACTGGTCTGTGTCACGTCATTGCTTGCCTGGATAATTGTAGTGGCCTCCTAACTAGAGTTGCCAGATTTAGCAAATAAAAATACAGGACAACCAGTTAAAGTTGAATTTCAGATTAACAACAATTTTTTTTAAGCATAAGTTTGTCCCCAATATTACATTCTCCATGCAGCAGCCAGACGGATTCTTTCAAAAAGTCAGAATAGGTCACTCCTCTGTTCAAAACCCTGTGATGTCTTTTCATCTCATAATAAAAAGCAAAAGCCTGAAAGCTGAGGCCTTGCAGGATCGGCTCCTAGCAGCTTTTTCCTCTTTGATCTCGTCGGCCCACTGTCCTCTCCTTCCCTCTGCTTGCATCTCTCTTCTCCCAGATATACCTAACCTCCTTTAGGTCTTTGTTTACACTTCGTGAGACCTTCCCTAATCGCCGTTTAAAACTGCACGCTTCCCTTCACCTTCCCTACTCTATATTTCTCTGTTAACACTTACTACCTTTTAACAAACGTATCATTTAGTTTGTTGTCTTTCTCCTTTTACCAGAATTTAAGTTCCCTGAGGGCATTTTTGCTCTCTTTGTTCACAGCTGCATCCCCAGTGCTTAGAATACTGCCTGGCACATAACTGATGCTCAATCATGTCGAATTAAGGAAATGTAGTTATCCAAATCAATAAATAGCTTTTGTTTCAGTAGGGCTCCTCTCACATTCTGATCATTCAGCATGTTGCTATCTCTTTCAAAGTAGTCACGTTAACTGTTTTAAGTTTTTAGAGAAGCCATCTTCTGTAATTCTGTAATGTTGGCAAACATTTATGTGCAGACACGGTTCTAAGGTATAATAAAATCTTAGAACCTCAGGTATTGTAATTAGAGTTAATACACAGATTAGGAAATTAAGACCCGGCGAGGTGAATCATTTGCTCAAGATCGCGGGATCTGCTGGCGCTGGGTACAGAACCTGCGCTTTAACTATAATACTCTGCCCGCTCTCTTTTACCTCTCTTTTTCTTAACTTGTTTGGGTTAAGCTCTTAAGAATCAAAGTCAAGACCTGTCAAAAGCCAAGCGCTTTCTCCCAGTCCAGTTAAGGACTCTGCAATTCGCATTTGAATCCCGCGTGGCGGGAAGCCGAAGGCAGGTGTCGGGAGCGGCGGGGAGGAGCCGCCAGGCCCCGCCAGCCAATCACAGCGGCCGGGAGCCTCCCTTCCCCCTACGGCGTCCAAGCGCCAAAATTCCAAACGGGACGCGCGCCACTACCTGCCGTCTCCCTCCGCCGAGCTCTGCGAGCCGGCACTATCTAAGAAAAAGGAGAGAGTGGTCTCACGTCACTGTCCGCTCGGGTCCTCTACCCTGTCGGTGTGGATTCTCCTCAAGTTCGGCCCAACGTCCTTTGCTCTACAGATGGGAGGGAAGTTTCGAGCCCGCCGTGATAGGGTGGCGACGTGGGAGGGACAGGCGGCGGAGGGATTCCGGGCGCGCGCGCTGCGGCCGTCGGCGCGGAGCTTGTGGCGCCAGAATTCGGAGCGCGGAAGAGCCTGAGCGGCTGTCGCCTGGCATCGGGTTCGTCTCCCGCTGCCGGGTCCGTCTTCCGCCGAGGACGCCCGGGCGAGGAAGGAGAGAAGATGGTGGTCCTCCGCAGCAGCCTAGAGCTGCACAGCCACCCCGCCGCCTCAGCCACGGACTCTCTGGACCTGTCCAGCGAGTTCCTGAGCCTGGAGCAGATCGGCCGGAGGCGGCTTCGCTCGGCCGGCGCCGCTGAGCAGTCCGCCGTCACCGTGGCCGCCGCGGGCGTGAGTACCGGCCTGGAGCGGGCCCCTCGGGGCCGGGCCTGGGGACTGCCGGCGGCCCTTTGCCCGGTGGGGCCCAGGATGGTGGGGGGGGGGGGCGGGCGGTCCGGGTGACAGTTGGCTGGGGGTGGAGGAAGGAGAGGGAGGTAGGTTGGGAGGAGTATTGTCGAGGACAAGTAAAATGGAAGGCTTGTCAAGATCCGAGCCCCGGAGGGGTGTGTGTCGGGTGGAGAGATGGACTGACTGCGGGAGGGTGAGCGGTGCGTTACCACCCACTTTTACTCGAGAGGAAACCGGAGCCCTCCGCAGCCGAAGTGCAGCTGGAGGCCGAATCTCGGTTTGGGGCTGCCCCGCCCCCGACCTCACACACCTCCCTGTCCAGTCGCCCGGGCTCCCGCCCTAGGTTTGCAGCGATCGCGAGCCACACGCATTTACTGAGCGCTTCCTGTATGCATAACAAGTGTTTAAGGGGCTGCGGGGGATAGAAAGGTTGTAACTCAGGTTCCCTGACCTTCATTTACGATCCAGAGGGGTTCGGTAACCAGAACGCAGTGAATAATACCAGGTTGCATAATGTAGAGAGATGGAGAGCAACGTTTCATGTACGTCTTCTTCACTTAAGCCTCATAACAGCTCCATGAGAATGGATAGTTACGATATGGCTCTTACAGATGAAAAAACAGACTCAAGAAGCTAACCAGTAAGTGGTAGATCGAAAATTGGAACTTGGATTCTCTGCCGCCACCACCTTTCTCTTTCTGTTATTTCATGCTACGGTTATAAGCAAGGTCTGTAGGTTTCCAAGAAGGTGCAGCAGTATACTAAGGTCTTCCGGAAAAAAGCTTCTCCTCCCTCCCCCTCCCCACCCCAGCTGCCGAAAGAGACACAGGTGGAGGAGACAGCGCTAACAAAGGGTTAGAGAAATTGAGGAAGCAACGTTAGTAAAGTTAAGGCAGCAGGAAGTAGTCTAGTTCTGTTGAAGGGAGAGTAGTCATGGGGGTGGGAAAACTAGGACCAGAGAGAGGGTTAGAACTGGGAAGTCAGAATGAGAGGCCAAGGGGAGGTAACCTGTGGTGGGAGAGAGGGACAAACCACAGGTAAGAGAGAGATCCCGATAGGAAATTAGTGGTATCTTTTGTAGAGGCCCTATACGAGTTGTTCCTCTACTGAGGGGAATGAAATGGTCCAGTCAGTCTCTGAAATTGTGATTCTGAATTGAAAAAACAATTTCCTGACTTTTAGGATCTGTTTCTCAATCACAGGCAGAAGTTGTTAAGAGATCTGGGGTGGCTGGACACTTCTTCAATAAACTCAGTCACTCGACTCATTAACCTATGTTCAGAAACAGCTAATTATTTCAGTAAATATTTAAGTGTTTATTATCTTCAGGACAAAGCTAGTTCCTGGGACTGTAATGATGTATTGAATACTGGTTAAGAAACATAGGTGCTTAAAACAACTGTTACTTCTTCCTGTGATAAGCCATAATGGAAAAGAATATGAAAAAGAATGTGTGTGTGTGTGTGTGTGTGTGTGTGTGTGTGTGTGTGTGTATATATATATGTATGTATAACTGAGTCACTTTGCTGTACAGCAGTAATTAATATTGTAAATCAACTATACTTCAATAAAAAATTAATTTAAAAAAACAACTGTTTGTTATGAATATCAGTTTACCAATATCAGCAGGTTTCTATGCCTAAAAGGGGGTGATACCCACCACAAGGGTAGTGAGAATTAAATGTGATCAGGCATGTAAGGAGGTTACCTGAACACTTGGCTGACAGTTAGGACTCAGTCATTGTCAGCTGTTGAGACCACAGTCGATTTTAATGGCCACTCCATCTTTTAAGTTCCTCAGGCTAAAAACCTTAGAATCATCCTTAACTCTTCTCTCCGTTCATATTAGCAGATTCTGTTGGCTTTACTTTCAGAATTTTTTCAGAATCCGACCACGTCTCAGCTCCTCCATTGTTGCCATGCTGGTTCAAGCCATCATCTTTTGCCTGGATTATTAATATAGTGTTTTGGTTTTTTTGTGTGTGTTTTGGTTTGTTTTGGTTTTGTTTGTTTTGATCTAGCACTGTGGCTTGTGGGATCTTAGTTTCCTGACCAGGGATTGAACCCGGGCCCTGACAGTGAAAGCTCCGAGTCCTAACCACTGGACCGCCAGGGAATTCCCATGGATTATTAAAATAAACTCTTGACTAGCCTCCCTGTTTACCACCCTTATATGTAATGCCCTCCTCCCTTGAAAGTCAGTTCGCAGTATAGCTTACTTATAGCTCACAAGAGTGATCTTGTAAAAAGTCAAAACAGTTGATCACTCCTCTGCTCAAAAATCCCTATCTAAGAGTAAAAGTTTAAAAGTTGAGAAGCAGCCCTATACCTCCTTGCCCCCTTCCCTTTATGATGACATCCTCTTCCATTTTCCCTTTTGCGAAACCCAGTCTGTTCTACCCTCTCTGGCCTAGCTGCTTCTTGAATCCCAGGGCCTTTGCAGTTGCTCTGCTTTCTGTTGGGAATACTCTTTCCCTGGATATCTGCATGAGCTATTCCTTTACCTTTTACATTTTTTTTAATTAAAAAATTAAAAAAGCCTCAGAACTCGTAGTGCTTAATGTGTTCCAAGAATTTTACAAACATTAACTCGATCCTCATAACCTTATAAGGTAGGTGTGATTATCTTTGTTTTGCAGGTAAGAGGACTGAGGCACAGAGACTTAAATAAGTTGCTCAATTCACCTTTATAGTAAGCAATAGAGCTGCGAGTCCTACCTAGGAGAACCTATGAAACAGTCTCTTTCAAGTGTTTGCTAAAATTTTACCTTTTCAATGATGCTTATCCTAACCACCCTATTTAACATTGCAAACCACTCATTGACAGGCCCCTTTGCTCTGTTTTATGGTCCCCAGCACTTACCACCTTCTAAATATCCTATAACTTCCTACTTCTAAAATATTTTTATCTCTCCCCAAATCAGAATGTAACTCCATAGGGGTTTGGATTTTGACCTTTTGTTCAGCTGTTATTCCTAGCACCTAGAGCATAGTAGGTGCATAATAAATATTTTGTTGTTGTTTGTCTTGCTGTATCAGTGGTATATGGTGGTTGAGCAATTAGCACTCACCTGGTTGTTGTAGGGTTGAAAAGATTCTTTTCCAGACTAGGGTTTCCAGTAGGGATTATATCTTTTTGAGACTTAGTACTCCTCTCTCAAATCCTCCGTAGAACAAATTGTAATCAGGGTGTTATTTAGTGAGCGTGGGATTTGGTCTTCAGGGGTAATGTATTCATGCTGACAAAGTCCACCAATACCAAAAATGAAACATACCTTTGTGATTGGAATATTTCCTAATTAGGGTTCTTTACATTCAATACATTTGATTTGATTATAGCTTGCTTTTTTACATCAATCATGCATTTCAGAAACTTAACTCCTTGATCCACCCTCATTGTATTTGGGTATTTCCTTGTCTCATTCACACATTTATTGACAGCATTTCTTAGAGTAGGTTCCTTTTAAAGATGGTTGGATTTATTCATATTAATTCATTAACTTGCATTTTTCTTCATCTAATCTTGGAGGCTGACCTTCAAGTTCTGAAGATACCTACAGTTACCTATTTATTAACCACATTTTACTTTTTTTTTTTTTTTTAAGTTTTTGGGTGCACTGCATGGCATGTGGGATCTTAGTTCCCTGACCAGGGATCGAACCCTCACCCCTTGATGTGGAAGTGCAGAGTTTTAACCGCTGGACAGCTGGGGAAATTTCAACCACATTTTACTTTTACATTTTGAATATGATCTCACTCAACTGCGCTTAAGGGTTTGTTTTCCCCCTGACTTGTATGGGTTCCCTGAAAATATTTTATTGTTGTTTTAAATCTGTTTCTTTGGTTTTTAAGCTTTTATTTTCTTCCTATTTATAAGTTTGGATGCCCCTTTCCTCCAGAGTCAGGCTAGCCATTGCCTATTTCTGTGCTTTCACAGGTCTGAGGCTCTTTGATTCATTAAATTTAGGGTTGTTTCTCATGCTGAAGAGATACTTAAGGATGGGTAGTAGGGGTTTTCTTGGTGATGATTGTACGTTACTTTTGGGTTGTGTTTATGTACGTTTTTATTCTTCGGTATGTTTTTAGGTAAAATGAAACACTGTAGTATGTAGAAGGTACTGTTTTTGGTTGTTTTTTTTTTCAATTGTATGTTTATTTACCCTGGAAAAATATCCCAAACTCGACACTGATATGTACAGCCTATGGGAGATACTTTAAAACTTGAAGCATATCACAACACAAAAATGACAAGTGTACAGTTCAGTGAAGTATGTCAAAGCATGGAGAGGGATATTTTGACAAGTGGCGATGACTGTTGCTCCCTGGATTGGCTGCTCTGCATTTGAGAGAGTGTACTTGTTTTGTGACAATAATAGTCCATTATTGTCCATTTTTGTTAGTTTGTGTTGTGCTGGTTCTTGATTTTAGGCTTAGAAGTTGCAACTTTTAGAACAGAGATCTGATGAGATAGTGTTTAGGATGGATTATAGTCAACAAATCTGGAGTTTGGAAGACCTGTTAAAAGATTATAATACTGATATCTACCATTTACATAGCACTTGCTGTGTTCCAGGCAAGGTACCTAATATGCACACACATATTTCCCCTGTAAAGTAACTATTATTATTTTGTTTGTTTTCCTGAAATTATTATTTTTAAATTTTTATAAATTTATATTTTTAATTTTGGCTGCGTTGGGTCTTCATTGCTGTGCATGGGCTTCTCATTACAGTGGCTTCTCCTGTTACAGAGCACAGGCTCTAGGCGCGCGGGCTTCAGTAGTTGTGGCGCACGGGCTTAGTTTCTCCGTGGCTTGTGGGATCTTCCTGGACCAGGGCTCGAATCCGTGTCCCCTGCATTGGCAGGCAGATTCTTAACCACTGTGCCACCAGGAAAGTCCCTATTTTTAAATTGAAGTATAGTAATTTAAAAGTTTACAAATAATTATTATACTCATTACAGATATGGAAACTAAGGTCTCTGTGTAACTTGGAGAAGATTATACAGTTCAATCGTAGGCAGTCTATCTTTAAAAGGTTGGGCTCTTAATTAGTACATTATTATCACAACAGACCAAAGGAGAGAAAACCAGAGCCTAAATTAAGGTGGTATTAAGAGGCACGGAGAGAAAAAGTCCAAAAGTACTGCAAGGGGTCTGAGAGTTGTTCAGATAGAGGCAGCAAAGGCAGTGTTGTTTCCAGCTGAAGAGGTAAGCTGTACATCTTTGGGACTATGACGCCAGAGTTCGGTGAGAGGTAAGGACTATTTTTCTTTGTGAGTCACCTATATAGAGTTGAGAGTTGAATCCTTGAAGGTGCATAGCAAAACACAAGAATATTTAAGATCTGGAGCAATGGCTTTATTTTAAGGGTGGGAAGAGGATGAATTAGGTTTAAAAAAAAAAGTATCATGGGCTTCCCTGGTGGCGCAGTGGTTGAGAGTCCGCCTGCCGATGCAGGGGATGCAGGTTCGTGCCCGGTCTGGGAGGATCCCACATGCTGCGGAGCGGCTGGGCCCGTGAGCCATGGCCGCTGAGCCTGCGCGTCTGGAGCCTGTGCTCCGCAATGGGAGAGGCCACAACAGTGAGAGGCCCGCATACCGGGGGAAAAAAAAAAAAAAGTATCATGTAAACAAAGGATC